AAAAAACCCAGGGTGGTGTGGGTGGGATGGTTAGGGGTTGTGTGGTTAATCATCAAGCAAATACTCTTGGAGAATTTCTGTTTCTAGTTACTTAGGATAATGAGGGAATCTGACAGATGAGGCCCCCACTTTTAAATAATGTAACACAGAGAAAGCTTGTAGAAATCCCACTCACTGCTGCAAAAAAAGAGAGATTCCTTAACGGACTGCTCACATTAAAGCTACCAGGGAAGCCTTTCCATGTATTTCTTGTAGAAGAGTCCTTTCTGCCTACTTTTTGCTACTGCCTTCTTTAGCCCCTGGTTGCCCACCTTTTTCTGTGTGCTCTTCAAAGATACTTGTGTATTTCAAAGTATATTTTGTTGGTTGGTTAGTTGTTTCTGGAGGGGATAAGTAATGAGATTCCTTTGCCGCTGAGGGCCTAGACTGTGAGCCAACAGCCCCTTCTGTCTTCAGATTGAACGGACGCTGACACTTCTGTTTCTCCTTCACAGTGGCGAGCTGCTGCTATGGGATCTCAGCCAGTCGTGGAGACGGAAATATACCCTCTTCAACGCTTCATGGGAAGGGCAAAATCATTCAAGAATTGTGTTCAATTTGTGTCCTTTACAAACTGACGACAACAAAAAGCTCCTCCTTTCCACGTCGATGGATAGAGACGTAAGCACTGCTGGTCCTGGTTCAGCACTGTTGAGCAGTGATTTACAGCCTGGATGGGATGGGGTGGGGGGATGCGAAGAGCTCCCCAGATGCCTTGTTGCTAGAGTAGACATGATGAAGAGGGGAGGGGTGGGCTCGGAGAAGGATGGGCAAGATCATCCTGCTTTTGCTGAAAGAGCCCTTGCTCTGGTTTAAGTAGCAGGAACATCTCATGCTAACTCTCTGAGAGAGAACTGACTTTACTTCAGTTGCGGTCTGTTCCTTGTTTTGCATTAGGTGTATCTGGTAGATATATTTTCTCCCAAAGCCGTCCATTAAACAGCTGCAACTTAAAGAACAGCAATTGAACAACTCTGCTCCTTGCTTGGGTATGATAAGTGATTTGCTTTTTGAGGCTATTAGGTATTGAATTTTTTTTCTTTGTTTCTGCCCGGAGGCCATTTTCATCTTTATTTCAAGCATACTGAGCAAAGAAATTACTAGTATGGTGGAACCGAAAGGGCATGGAACTGTGGGAAATGGAGGCCAGGGTTCTGGTTTTCTTATTAATTGTATGGCCCTGAATTCACAGCCCTCTGGGAATTAATAGGTCTACAATCCCTTTGAGCAGCACAATTTTTTTTTTTTTAATCATTTTGATTCATTTTATTTAAGCTTTTAAAGTTCTTTATTGCTTCATAAGTTAATCTCAATTTAACTTTCTGGCTGGTGATTAATGTACATTTTGTTTCATGTATATCTTATAATTGCTTCATTCATATTTTGTATCACATAAATCTTATAACCCAAGTTGGCCTGCACGGACACCCTTGCCTCTAATGTCAATTGACAAATCTATATCTTGGAAAATTCCCTTAAAGTTGTGTAAAGTCTAAATGTGAGTTTCCTTGCAT